TTAACCTCCTCCCCTCCTACTTCCCTGTCAGGTAAGATAGATTTCTATATTCAACTGACTGTGCATATTATTCTCTCTTTGAGCCAATATTGATAAGAGTAAGGTTCCCTGCCCCAAATCCCTTCCATTGTAATGTTTTCTTGCCTCTTCATGTGAAATTATTTACCCCACTCTGCCTCTTCCTTCCTCTAGCATCCACTGTACTCCTCTTTCTCATTCCTTAATTTTATTTTATGTCATTCCTTCAAATTCATCTTATACCTGTACCCTCTGTCTATGTGTATTTCTTCTAGCTATACTATTAGTGATACAATTAAGAATTACAAGAATCACTTTGGGGATGCAAATAGTTTAGCTCTACTGAATTCTTTGTGCTGTCTTTTCCCTTTTATCTATTTATGCTTCTCTTGGGTCTTGATGTTGGAGATCAAAATTTTCATTTAATTTTGGTCTTCTCCTTATGAAAGCTTGAAACTCCTCTATTTCATTAAATGATCATTTTTTTCCCATGATGTATTATGCTTAATTTTGCCAGGTGAGTGATTCTTGGTTTGTAGTCCTAGCTCCTTTGTCTTTTGGATTTTAATCATATTCCATGACCTCCAATCTTTTAATGTTGCAGCTGCCAAGTCCTGTGTAATACAATCATGTAATAGAATGGCTCCCCAATATTTGAATTGTTTCTTTCTGGTCATTTATGGTATTTTTTCCCCCTTGACTTGATAGTTCTGATTATTTGGCTATAATGTTCTTTGTAGTTTTTATTTTGGGATCTCTTTCCTGAGGTGATCAGTAGATTCTTTCAATGCCTATTTTTTCCTCTGGCTCCAGGACACCAGGTCAGTTTTCCTTGATAATTTACTAAAAGATGCTGTCCAGCTCCTTCTTTTGATTATGGCTTTCAGGTAGTCCAATGATTCAGAATCGTCTCTTCTAGATCTGTTTTCCAGGTCAGCTGCTTTTCCCGTTACGTATTTTACATTTTCTTCCATTTTTAAAATTCTTTTGGATTTGTTTGATTGGTTCTTAATGTCTCGGAGAGCCATTAGCTTCCACTTGCCCAATTCTAACTTTTGAAGTGTCGTTTTCCCCAATTAGCTTTCGTACTTCCTTTTCCATTTGGACAATTCTACTTTTTTAAGCAGTTGTTTTCTTTTTCCAACCTGTTGACACTTTTTTCATAATACTGTTGCATCACTCTCATTTCTTTTCCCAATTTTTCTTTTACCTCTCTTATAGGATTGTTTAAGCTCCTTTTTTAGCTCTTCCATGAGTTCTTTCTGGTCTTGAGACCATTTGCTGTTTTTCTTTGGGGTTTTTCCATAGGTGTTTTGACATTATTGTCCTCTTCTGAGTTTGTGTCTTGATCTTCCCTGTCACCATAATGACTTTCTATGGTCAGATTCTTTTGCTTTGTTTTGTTTTTTGATCATTTTCCAGCCTTTTTCCTTTCTTTTCGATTGGAACTCTGCTCCTGGGGTGAAAGGGGCACTGTTTCAGGCTTCAGGTGCCAGGAGCTGCAGGCCCCTGGCTATTTACCTGGTGCTACCCTGATATAGCCCTGAGGCCAGCTCAGAACCCTCTTTTTTGGTGCTTAGCTGAGGGGTGGGTAAAGAGGTGGCTGATGCTGATAGAGGACATTGGGGTCTGACAGCTTACTTGGGGCCAAGCCAAGGTCCTAGTGGTGGTATCTGGTGTGTCCTGAGGCCAACAGGGTGTTTCTTTGTTTCCCTGGGGCTGTGCTGAAGCACATGGCAGTCTGGCTGTAGGCAGCTGCCTGTTTGCCTAGGGCTGTGCTGGGGCACAAGATGGTTCTCAGAGCTGGAGTTTGGTCATTCCCCTATCTATGCTGAGGCACGTGGATGGTCTTGGTGTTAGTATTTGCCTGTTCTACTACAATGGGGCTCAGGATCTACCACTGGTTTGTTGAGGTGGGACTTATTGCTGGCATGCTGGGATGCATCCTGTCCTGGACTGTGCTCCTCTTTTCTGGAATAAGACAGATCTTTCCTGCCAATCTCCCAAGTTTCTTGGGCTCAAGGATTGTTTCACCCCATCTTTTTGTTGGTTCTGCTGTTCCAGGATTTGTTTTGGGACACTATTTTATAGTTGTTTGGAGGTGAATATGCGAGAGTTATGTCGATTTACTGCTTACTCTGCCATCTTGGCTCCTGGAAATGATTATTTAAGCTATGTTTCTTAAGCCATCCTGTGCCCTACAAATCCACCATACTTTCTGAAAGGAACTTCATGCCACACCATTAAAGGAGGGGTTCTTAACCTGGGGTGTGTATATGTAAATATGTGTATATACACACACACACACACACACACACACACAGAGTGTATAAATATCTTAAGTATTTTAATGTAATTGCTTTCCATTGAAATCCTTTGTATTTTATTTCATGCATTTAAAAACACCATGATGAGATGGGAACCTTAGGCTTCACCACAGTGTCGAAGGGGGTCCATGGCCCAAGAAAAGGCTAAGAACCCCTGCATTAAAGGGTTAGTATAGTAATAGACAGTGCCCTTTTCTTGGGGTTTTATTTTTCTTTCTTTCTCAACTGGGGAGTGGTAGGCAAAGGGGAAAGTAAGAGAAAGGAGATTTTTGTTGACTGAAAAAAAAAATCTATTTTTTTAAAAAAGTGTCATGGTCTGGGAGTCAGGCTGCCACTTGCCCATTACCAAGTCAACAAGGTAATTGACTTAAACTTTTCTGAGCTAGTCTCCTCATCTGTAAAATGAAAGGATTAAACTAGATGTTTAATTAGATTAAAGTAATGTCTTTCAACTTTAAAATTCTCTGAATCCATGCTTTTTAAGTTTTTTTAAATTAATTAAATTTTGTTTTTAAGTTCACAGTCTCTCTCTCCCTCCTTTCCATCTGGAGCCCCACTCTGAGAAAGCAAGAAAAACAAAATCTCTTATAAACATGTAGTCAACCAAAACAAATCTCCAAACTTGGTCACATCCAAACGCAAAAAAATCAATCTGCATTCTGAGTCTGATATTTATCTGTCTGGGGGTGGGTAGCATATTTTATTATTGAGTCTTCTGGAACTGTTGTTGGCAACTATTGACCACTCTTGTGGTTAGTCACTGGATCAGAGGTCCTAAGTCTTTTTAAGAGTATCTTTACAATATGGTTTGAATTTTTCTTCATAAAAGCAAACCATAACACATTTCATAGCAGGCTTCGTATTAAGATAACTGCAAGAGCTTAATGTGTGTGGTTGTGCTGATTACTGTATGTCTAACAGTTTAGGACGGTACATTCTAGAAATTCTGAAAACATAGAAGTATAAGTATCCAAAGGGTTCAAGCTTATGTTCTTCCTTTCTGATGGTTTTTCCAACTTTCAGGGAAGGATGAAATTGACTTTTTTGGATAAGCTGTGATTCCTCCTCGAAGAGCCTATTCTATTTCTTTTCTTTGGAGAATGCTTCATTCCTGCCCTGTACCCTCTCCACCCCACCCACCAATTTAAAAGGAGATATAGTAGCTTCCTCTGTACCTTACTGATTCACCTGCCCTGTCTTTCTAATAACAAATCAGGGCCTTGCTTATATTGGGAAAATACCTGAGGCACTCACTCATAATGGATCTATCCATCTTTGAATGTGCTGCACCCTACTTAGAGTGTGCAGTTCCTTCTCAGGCATACTATGTGTACAAGTAAATACTATTTCTAATCTGGCCACTCAATGGAAAATTTAACGTGCAAATAGCAGTTTGACTATTACACAAAGAGGGGCAAATAGTGCCTTTCTGGCTTAAGTAACTCTTAAAAAATGAATAAAAACTATATTGCAAATCTGCAACTGGTTTGCATGAATGACCTTTCTTACCAGAAGATAGTCACTAGGAAACATACTTTGTTGCACTCAAAGATGTAGATACAAACAAAATTGAATTTAAACTCTTAACTTCTTTTTTACTTCAAGATGCAATTTTAAATTAAATTGCTTTTTAAAAAAAGCCAAGCTCTAAAGAAAATAGGAAAGTGAATAGCCATAAACAGAACCTTTACCACTACCTGTAAGGGACAAAGGTTAGCCCTTCTAAATCATTCTGAACAGATTGGGACAACCAGTTTGCTTGTGCTATTAAATATTTTGGTATTCCTGAAATGGAAAATAAAATGTTGACATGGGCAGGGATTACTTTCAGCAAATTGACACAAGGAGTGAAAAAGTTACCCATGGTGAAGAAGTAACTTGTCACTAAGTGTTAAATGGGACAGTTAAAGAGGTTTGGGTGGGCAAAGAACCGAAGGCATCTCAATCAGAAAAGCACACTTTAAAAGGTCTCTTTTGATGTCTCAGGAGGGCACTCACCGATTCCCCCTCCCTCTAATGACACTCAAACTTAATGACAGTAATTACCTAAGTAAGTCCAAGTATAACTCCCCAACCACTAGATTTTCTTCAAAGTGAATTTTTGAACAGGCTTAAAGAGGTTGAGGGATGGGCAAGGAGAAAGGAATCTCACCAAAAAAACAAAAAGCAACACATCTTGGGATCACAGAAAGATTGTTTAACCCAGAGAAGGTCTATGATCGCCTATTTAAGCATGAAACAGAACGAGACAACTGGAGATGTGGGGCATCTTGGTCTTGGCCCCTCCCTCCCTCCAATGACACTCAGAGTTAATGACAGTAATTACCTGATTGATTTAATTACAACTTCCCAACTACTTGGTTTTTCTTCAAATTGAATTGATGTACTGGCATAAAGAGTTGAGGGGGAAGGGGGGGGGAAATCTCGGGGAAGGACAAAATACAACACATTTTTGGGATCCCAGTAAGAACTTAACCTTCTAGAGGAGGTTAATTATCACAAATTTAAGCATAAATTAGAACGAGGTGGCCTGAGAAGATGGGACATCTTGGTCCGGACCTTTCCCTCCCTCTCCTCCCCAAAGGCTGGCCAGATCCCTCCTTGCCCTCCCAGCAATGCGGAAGAGGAATGCATCCCACAGCTCCACATACTCACATCTCCATCTGCTGGCCTCTGGTCATCACAGTCCCTAGTGGGACTGATGTCCTGCCGCATGACCCAAATGGGCTCTTTTGGCTCATCTGGAGTGTAAGGCGAACGGATGGTCCTGGTTTTCACCTCCTCGATGGCCTCCTTAATGTCCTTGATGGCCAGTGAGATGGCATCCCTCTTTTCCTTGCTGTAGCGCTGCTGCCCGGCATCACCGGCGTGGCCGGCGGGTCGGGGTCCTACGGGGGCAGGCTGCCCAGGGCTCCCCGGCTGCCCTGCGTCGCCGCAGCCGCCTTCCGGGCTGGGCGCCCTGTCCAAATTCTGCTCGGCCTCGGGCATGTCCTCAGAGGCTTTGTCGAGGCTCTGGGAGCTCATGCTCTGTTTGACCTCGGCCACAATCTGGTCGATGTCCTCCTCCTGCTCGTAGCTGTCCATGCGCGGGTAGGGGGCGAACTCCGCCTCCTTCTCGGGGCTGTCAGACTCGCCGTCTGAGCGCTCGTCATAGTGGTGCAGACGCGCCCCCAGTGCCTCTTTGCGGTAGTTGTCCGCCTCCTCGCGCTCTTGCTCGTAGAGCCGCAGGCCGTCGCGTCCGTCTAGCTCCGCCGTGTCCCCGATCTCCTCGTACACGTGCTCCTGCAGCCCCGCATAGTCCGCGTAGGGCTCCGCATAGGGTTCGTCCTCGCCGCGATGGAAGAGCCGGTGCGTGTAGACGTAGCCCGAGTAGGCGGCGTTCATGGCCTCCTCGTGCTCCAGGGAGTGGAAGTGCAGGTGGTTGGGCAGGCTCCGGCGATGAGTGGCTTCGGCATGCTCGGCCTCGGCGTTCTCTGTGTACTCCTCGGCCTCGGGTCGGTATTGCACGGCGTAGGCGCTCTCGTCCTCGTTCTCCTGGCCCCGCTCGGGGTCGTAGCCGTCCTCACGGGACGCGGCGATCACGTCCCCCTCGGCCGTGTCCGTGTGGTTGTGGAAGCCGCTCTCCGTGCTGGCCGAGCGGGCCAGCGAGCCCCCTCGGTCCTCCTCCTCCGGCCCCTGGGCGGGCTGGGGGTCGCGCACCCCCCTAGTGGGGCCGCGAGGGTAAGGGGCTGCATGCTGGGGCTGCGGCCGCGGCCGCTGCTCCTCCTCCACCTCGGGGTGCTCCAGGTCGGCCTCCACGGATTCGTTCACTTCTCCCGATTCTCCGCTCCCAGGCTCATCGATCACCTCCACGTCTGGCGGTCCTCCCACGTGGCTCATGGTGGGAAGGAGGGAGAGCTGGGGAAGGGGATGCCTGCCGCCTTACTCCGTGCTCATCTTCTCTGTGTCTGGAAAAGAGGAAGGAAAGGGGGAAAGTGTGTGTAAACTTGAAATGAAGAGCCAAGCACCAATAGGACCACAAAACTTTTAACAACAAAAACTACTTGGTATTTTGGGTAGAAAGGGGGGAGACATATTTGCTAACTGTGTTTCTCCCAGTGCCTAGTGCAGTACCCTGCACAAAATAAATGTGGAAATAAAGTGAATTGTTGGTAACCAGGTCCCATCAAGGGATTGACGTTTCTTTTTAAAAATTTTTTCTTTTTTTAGGTAATTGGGGTTAAGTGACTTGCCCAGGGTCACACAGCTAGTGTCAAGTGTTTGGTCTGAGGTTGGTTTTGAACTCAGGTCCTCCTGACTTCAGGGCCACTGTGCCACCTAGCTGCCCCAACATTTCTTTTTAAAAATATTTATTTTATTGTACAATTTATTCCAGTTGATTGTCTCAAACCAGTTATTGACTAGATATATCTGAAATAAGTGCTTGGAAAAAAAATCACATCCAACCTCAGCATCTTCCTTCCTGAGGTTTTTCTGAAGAATTTCTTATGACCTATTGCTCACTCTGGAGCAAGTGAAGATATCACCACTTCCCATGAGAGGAAAAACACCAGGACGAGGAAAGAAAAGGTGAGAGGTGAATTCCTTAATAAAAGCTGTTGTACAAGGCCAGCACCTTTTATGTTCTCCGTGGTTTTTACCTTTAAACTCATATTTTGAAAGAGGTCAGGTACTGGGCATCGTTAAGGGTGCAAGTGTGGTGTGATTAAAAAAAAAACCTGACATCACTGGATTTCAGTCTTAAAACTTGGGTTCAGAGTACCTAGATTTGAAGTCTCAGGTGCTTAGATAATTAGCATTATGACTTTGAGTAAGCAATAATAAGTACTGGTATTTTACATTTACACATATTACAATATAGTAGATAGTGGCTCTGTAGTCAGAGGACCTAGCTTCAACTGCCTTAGACCTGTTACTAGACCTGAAAAGCTAAACTGCTTCTGACCTGAGTTACCTGGATAAGTTAAGCTCCAGTGACTTTAGCAGGATCACACAAGGCTCTAAGTTGCACAGCTGGGATTCCAACCAAGTTGTCTGACTCCAAACCCAACCCTTGTTGCTAATGCAGCTGGGGAGTAGCATAGCCTGGGATTGTACCAACATCAGATATAGTAGGTTTATTTTTCCAAGCTCCTTTGCTGACACATGAATAAAAACCACTGCTAGCTTAAATAACCCATTTATCTATTACTTCTTAATTTTAATAATAGCCTTTGAGAACAATAATCAGTTGGCTTAAGACACAGTGTTTAAGTTTTTTACATTTGGTCAGGCAATATAAATTCCCCCTAGATAAAAACCCTTGATGCTCTGAGAAACTGAAGATTTTAATGAAGTTGACATTCAAGGAGGGGATCTGGAAAGCCTTATCATGAAGTAGGATTGGGAGACTAAATGTCTCTGTTTCCTGGAAGTAGGGGGTTTACTCCCTGGAGATATCTGTACACAGTTATTGATAGTTGGTCTGGAAGAAATGCCTTATTCCCCAGAGATGCATGTTTCACTTTTAAAAGCAAATATACTTGCTTCATTTCATCATAGCTAACTTCTGTTTTAGATTTTGGTCATTAAAAAAATAACTGTACAATTTCAGCAGAACAGATTCATTTGAAAAATATAATGCCTCAAAAATGGTACTACAACTTTTTCAGGTTACTCACATAAGAAAAAAAAGATTGATAGCTTAAATGGCCTACTTGAAGCAAAATTCCTCCCCACAAATTTCTCCAGTTTAAACTAAGATCCCAAACCATTTAAAAATGATTCCTTCATTAGTAAAAATGTAACACTGAAATTTTTATGAGTGAATTGCTATCAAAAAATAGAGAAAAAGTAAAAGTTTTTAAAAAAGTGTAAAATTTGTAAATCTCTGCAATTAAAACTAAGAAGCAAGAGCATTTAAAAACAATTCCTTGAATAATAAGAATGTTAACTTTGAAATATTTATGAGGGAATTGCTGTCATTACAAATTCAATGAAGGAACTGGCTTTAAAATCTAAAGTAACTCTCAACAGATTCTTGACTTGCCATTCAGTGATTCTTTGTCACTATGGCTGGGGCACCACGGCAACTGAACTACACAAATAAGCCTCCATCTCTCTTATCTCACCCTACAAACACTGTGCCAGAAATGCTAACTAGTAGCTAAATTCCCTAATTTGATTTTCATCCCCTATAACAAGGAATGCTGGTAAAAGGTACCAACTCAAAACCTACAGTTTTGTGATGCAAGGCAATCTAATCAAATGAAATAATAATTGTAAAATGCTTAGCACAGTGCCTGGCACATGGTAAGCATTATACAAATGTTAGTTATTATTAATCAGTTGTGTGTGTGTGTGTGTGTGTGTGTGCAGGTGCAGGTATGTTTCTTTTGATCTCAAAACATCAGTGAGAATTATTCAATACTCACAGTTATCACTTTCCATTAATAATTACTTTTCTAGGGGAGGCCATTTTACTAGTAAGAGAAAATGGAGGTAATATGATTTCTTGTAAATTCATTCAGCAAAGCACCTGATATGATTAGGGAAGATTCTTGGACTTATCACCAGACCAAATTTCCTTCAGGAGTTACTTTCTTGCTTTTAAAAAGGGTTTCTTTATGTCGTACCTATTTGTTTATAACATACACTTTATGTTATACCTGTTTGTCTGGTAAAGCCTATGTACCTCTTCTCAGAGTAATGTTTTTAAATGCACAAATTAAAATACATAGGATACATCATAATAACAATAATAGCTCACATTTATATAATGCCTACTATGTAACAGGTACTGTACTAAGAACTTTATAAATATTATCTCATTTGATTCTCAACACAGCCTTAGGAAATAGGTACCATTATTTTCCCTAATTTTACAAAGGATACCAACTATATTGAAATAAAGTTATAAAAATATTTTAAAATACAAGTTCGTGGACTCCAGGTTAAAATACTCCTCTTTAGCAATTCTGATATCCAAATAAATTTCATTCTACTGAATTACAAATGCCACAACTTCATTGGCTCTGATATATCTATCAGTAAAGCAAGTTATTCCAAGTTAAACCAAGTTTTTCCACTAAGTGTCAATACCCTCTTCTTACCCAATATCATAATGAATGACCCTGGGCCAACTCACAGAAGAAAAACGTGTATGACTCACCTTGGATGAACAGTCTCATAATATTTTTTTCTTTCCTGAGGTAAAGAAAAAGGTTCTGGCAACTATTAAAATCTTTGACTAAACAATGGTATTCTCACATTAACTCCTGAGAAGAGCAGCTGTGCTCTGATACCAGGCACGTAAAGGAAGGACCCACTGAAGCATTCCTAATTGTGCACTCCAACCTTAATGGGTGAGCTTCTGGAACAGAGGAGTCACAAATGTTGGCTATTAGTTCAGACATATTGTCTCTGAAGGTTAAATGGCCTTCCTCACTGGATTAAAAACATACATACAGAACAACAAGAAAACAATTCGAAAGGCTATTTTAGTAAAAAGCCTACTTAATATTTCTGTAGTACTCAACTGTCCCCTGCCTCTACAGCAATCCTTAGGAAAACAAAAACAAAAGAGAAAAATTTCATTAAAGCAAGACTAGCCTTGATGTACAAATCTAATTCTGATGAACATAGAGAAAGCATCCAGTGGGGGTGAAATACACTGCAATTCTCTATGTACCTGTACCCTGAGGCTGTTCTTAGCAAAGTGCAGCCAGTTGCAGAAATCCAAAAAATAAATCAGAGACCAGCAATCCAACCAATATAACCAAATGCAAAACTAAGCAGAAGCAACCCCTTTATCACAAATGGACTTTTCTTTTGGCTCGATGAAGCCAATGGACATATGCTTAAAATAGATGGGGTTTTTTCTGCCTCTTTTGAACTCTTTTTGTCTGACTATAGAATGGAATGAAAAAGCATTTGTTAAATACTGCATGCCAAGAATTGTGTTAAGTATTGGGAATACAAACGGAAAAGTGAGACAGCCCCAGCTTTGAAAGAGAGGTCCAGTTGCAGGAGAGAACACATAGGGAACAGTACAGATGGAACAGTCCTGAGATACTTGGGATCCAACAGCAGAGTTTGTGGCAAGGCCCAGGGATCTTTATGTTGCACTGTTGGGGAAGTTTTCCCCACCCCTCTACTCCATGGGGTCTGGGTAGACATAGTTCAGGGTTGGAGTCAGGGGCAGGAACAGCCAAGAAGGGGGAGAATGGTTTCCGAGGCTTCTCATAAGACCAGGACTGAGTTAAAGAGATTAGGGATTTCCATGCAAGCATGATGTGGAGAAAAAGGTGATGGAATAAATTATAAAGGACTATGCTAATATTGGTAGAAATAATGTAAATCTACAAAAGGTTTTGTACTTAATAAGGCCATTCTTCAATTCCAAGTGTATTTATGTATTCAGTGTTAGTCAAAACCATGATTTCAAGGATAAAGTTTGGCTTGTGATATTGACAGCATAATAATTTACTAGTTAGACATTTATTTGAGAGGCAGTGTGATATAGTAGCAATTGAGCCAATCCAGAAAGACCTGGGTTTGAGTCCTGATTCAGCCAAATACTATCCATAGTGATAGCAATTCTTTTTGTGGTGGCTAAGAATTGGAAATCAAAGGGATGCCCATCAATTGGGGAATAGCTAAACAAGATGTGGTGTATGATTGTCATGGAATATTATTGTGCTATAAGAAATGATGAGCACGATGCTTTCAGAAAAAACCTGGAAAGTTTTACATGAACTGATGCATAGGGAAGTGAACAGAACCAGGAGAATGTTGTACAGAGTAACAGCAATATTGTTCGATGAAGAACTGTGAATTAAGCTGGTCTCAGCAGTACAATGATTCAAGACAATCTCAAAGGACTAATGATGAAGCATACTATCTGCCTCCAGAGAAAGAACTGATATTGATTGAAAACAGACTGAAGCATGTTGTTTTCACTTTCATT